AAAGGTTGTAAATTACCTGTCTGGCTGGATATAGAAATGAATTAGACCTCAACAGAAAAATTTGTTCTATTTGCTTTGTTATTCAAGGTCAGTGAAAACCTAGCAAATAAACCACCTGTGAAATACAAGTTTTTAAAGTTAATGTTCCTATTTTAACAAAGGAAGAGAGTCTTTAATGATTCTTTTATGTGTAGTTTCATCAATGAAAAGAAATTGCCTAACAAGCAAAATAATGAAAAAAACCTGTTTCCTAAGGCATAGAGATGCATATGTAAGATATTTGTATGTATATAGGATACATAGTATGTATTTGTAATGCTAGGCATTAGTGAAATTTCTTATTCAAAAGTGAAAGTGGGAGGAATATTAGTTGTAAATATTAGTAACATTTACCTCCAATCCTGTAAAAACTTCACATTTTATAGCTGTGGGGTTTTGTTTGGGGTTTTTTTTTTAACCAAAATGTATCAGGTCTGACCAAAATAATCTAAACTGGCAGTTTTCCCCCAATTTATTTTGTGCAATGGATGTTCAGAATACTCATTCTCATTTAGTTCTAAAAATTAATTTTTATCTATGAATATTGTATGCTTTCCAATGCCTGTGTAGCTTTGCAGCCTCTGAACATACTGCAGGAAAGACAGTATTTGTTTTTTGATAGTTTAGAAAATTTCAAAATTTCACTTAGCCTATTAATCCATTAATTTAGCTGAACTGACAAATTGTATCCTGTCTTTTCTGTTTTTCCTCTGGGAACACAAAAAAAGAAAGATCTCTACCTTAAAAAAGCCCACATTTTCGTAACCACCAGAGACATATAAAAGCTTTATGAAATCATATATGCCTTAACACTTTTAGTGCACTAATGCAGAAAAAAAATATGTACAAGCATCAATAAATATCATCCTTTATTTTGCCATTTCCAAGCTCTGCAAAGATAATGAGAACCTCTTTTTTATGAAACTGGATTTTACATGTATACTGTGACATCTCTAGTCCTTCCATAACTGCAAGTGGTTACTGGTTCTCTCTTATAAAGCTGGAACTCATTTTTGCATTTATTGCACTGAGGCCATGAGATTTTATATGTTTAGAAGAGCTACCTGTGATACAAATTCAAATTCAGCATATCCTGGAATATAGATTAATATAGTTTATCTAGGAAAAAAATCCTTTATTTAAGAAACCTAGTTGATTTTAAAAATGGGAAAGTTCTCAATTCTTTTTGATAAAACTGCAAATTTCTCCAGATCTGCTGGTATAATTCAGAGCCTTACCTAGAGGACATAACACATCATAAATTAATTTACCAGAGAGATGATTCCTTCATTTTTTATTTCATCTTTAATTCTGTCAGACTCTTCTGAAAAAGTAAAAAGGTCAAACATCTGATAATTTAACTTATAACATGTTCTCCTTTGTCACATCACATCAGACTGAGAGACAATTTACTTAATTTACAGTACTATTAATGTAATTAGTATATTATGTCCTCTGGATCAAATTTTGTCCTCCTTTCCACCAATGAATCTAGACAGACTTACTGTTTTATTAAGGGCAGAATTTGGAACAGTTAGTAATCTCTCCTTTTACACGTATTTAAGAAGAGAAAGGCATTTCAAAACTGTACATCATCTGAAATTTCTGGAAGATATGTTTAAATATACTGTCCTTACCAATTCTCCTCATGTTGTATTTATGCACCAAAATCAGATGCTTAGTTATGCGCAATCTAGAGATATTTAACAGAGGAGAAATTACATTATTTCTGAGTATTGCCTGTTAGAGGAATCATAGGTAAAATACAGTTGGGCAGCCATGCATGCTTTCCTTCAGGATTGAAGCCCCAAACTCTTTAGCTGCAGATCATGTCATGGGAGTGCAATTTCATGGATGTATCATTTCAGAGTCATCTTACACAGGACTCTGACTAACAGGTAGTCTGAACACTCATCTTATTTTCTATGTATGATGTCCCCTTACAAGGTAGTTACAATATACTCCTCAGAACTTTTAATACTTAACTCCTCCAAGAGCAAGAAGACAGAAACAGTTCCCAACTCAAGCCCACATGTACCCAGTCAGTAAAAGCCCTTGAGAGGCACTCAACTCAGTACAGCCTCAGATGCTTAATAATCCAAATGTATTTCTCTTGAATAAGCTAAACAAGGGAAGAAATGCATTTACAACTGAGTCTATCAGGCACTACATTTTGAAATACAAAGAATCTTAAGGGCTCTAAACCGGTTTCATAATGATGAAGGGTCACAATAAGCACACATGCATCAAATGGCAAATAGTAATTCTTACCCATTTATGTTTACTCATGAAAATGAGATTAATGAAAAAAATGTATTAACTAAAAAGAATGCCACAGATGATTAAAAAGTATAGTTTTCTTTGTGAAAATACAGCACAAGGAAAAAGACTTTAGGCAATACCATGCAGTGGACTAATTAGAAAAAGAAAGTAGGCCATCTTATAAAAATCATACTGTTTAATCAGGCCATGAAAGCAATGCAAAGTGAGTAACAGAACACTGCAAGTTGTCGAGTCAGATCTTTTAATTTCAGTAAGAGGCACACAGATCAAAGAAGGATTAGATTCTATCATAGTATCACACTGATGGCATACATACGAAAAAAGTAGGGCATTTACACATGCTCTCTCACTTTTGGTGCTAAAATTTTAATATTGTGTCACACTTTAAAGGTAAGTGTGAAAAGTAACTCTTGGCTGATTACCAAAGTCTCCAAGTTAAATTACTGTCTTCCCTACTGAGCTTGTCACACCCCAGTGAAGAACAAAAGGATTTTTTTGGGGTAAATTTCTTAATTCAACATGTCAACTAACACATTTAAAACCTTTTCCTGTATTTCTGCCACACCCACATACAGACAAACTACACCTTGCTTTATGCGGGATAAATAAACCCATTCTTCTCCCATGCGTTCTGGGACTTCAGTGTTTAGAGATATAGGGGAGGGAAAAGGAAGGGAAGGAAGCAGTGCTCTGGTAAACTAACAAAATCTAGACAGACAAGCTACAGCTTGCTGAAAGCAAAAACTAAGCTGCCCAGATGGGTGCTTAGCTCTAAGACAGTCTGGATCTGTCCCAGAGCTAGAGTAACACAGGCCTAAGGCTGCTGGAAAGCACTACTAGGGGATGTATGCATGACTTGAAAACAAAAACTGGTTTGAATTAAAGTTATGAACATATTTTAAACTGAAAGACAAAAAGGTTCAGAAGTTTTCCACTGTTGTTAATAAGAAACATAAATAGTTGAGCAGTGAGGTGGAAGAACCATCTGTAAGACAATGAGGAGTTTTACAGCTTTTGCCTCCACAAAGTGTTTTGAAAGTGAAAACTCGAAAAATCAAAACAGCTTTATGGGCAAAGTGATCTTTTTCACAGTAGCTGAAAAGTAGCTATAGAGAACCCAGCACAACTCTACGCATCACTTCAGCCATTGGAGAGCCCAAATCATAAAGGAAATCCTCAGTCAGATGTTCTATTCAGTTCACAACATGTGAACCCTTTTAGCGTACAAGAACACAGAGCAAGATTGTATATTCCAAATGATACAGCCTAGGAAGATATTGCTTCATCTCCTACAGTTAGGATGCTCTAAAACGTGATCTGCACACTGTAGTTATCTGACAAACCAGAGCAAGGGTCTCAGCAAGCCACCTAACTAGAACAGGATGCGCTTAATAGGGAGCTAGAGTGTGGTAAGCCTCTCCCTGTGAGACAGTTCCTACAAGAGCTTCTCCCTATGAGAAAGACAGTATAAAACCACAGTGACAAATAGCTAACATTAAGAAGTCTGGAATTTTATTTTGGATGGTTAGAATAGCATTTCAAAATTATCATAACTAATTTATCTATGTGATTTCCAATGTATTTTGTTTTGACTTGTATAACTAAAATGCTTAATACTTCTGTGTTGACTTTGTGGCTACAAAAGAATAATGCAAACAGAAAAAGATAGAACCAGACATTTCTGGCTTGACTTGAAGTAAGCCAAGTCTGACTTGAGTTGTCTTTTTATCTACATGTGTCTAGCTTCCAAAACTACAAGAGATGAAGTTGGTGTAGATTACATCATCATTTTTGTAAATTCAGCTTTGAATGATATAGTTAATTATATAACGGAGATAATGATATTTTTCTTTTATGGAAAGACTGTAAATGTAAATGCTTTCAGAGGTCGCAGACTTTACTAAAAAATGAATCCTGAAGAAAGTTCAGCATACAAACATGAATGTCCAGGGACACCTATTTTACTTTTTTATGTCAACCATTCTCTTAAACAGTGCAATCAACACGGAGGTAGCCATGAACATTCAAATGTTTTCTTTTTTTCACCTAACTTTTGTAAGCATGTGTTAAAAGTCTTGCATAGGACAGTGCCAGTGAGTAATTCATAAAAGTTTGATGAAAAACTTAAAATAGTACTCAGGAAAGAGAAAAAAAAAACCCTAAACATTAAATAATCTCCCTATTCTGTAAAACTGCATTCAAAATACTGGATACTAGTGTGCTTTGCCCCTCAACTCATCCACTTTCTTGCTCCTGTCATTATTTTGAAATAAAAATACAATATACATCCTATGCTTGAAGTCAAAGAAATGAAGTTTACTACTTTAGGGTCTGTTCTAGCAAAGAATCTGTAATTTTTGTCTTCGTTTCCACTGCCTATTTTTGTGGCTCTGCTATGTAACACTAACTGCACAACTAGCTTCACCAAGAACATTTCTCTATATTCAACTGTATTCCCCTTCAATGCAGAATAGATAGGTTTCTTTGAATCCTATGGATCAGCTCTGCCATACTTGAAGATTGATCCCCTCCTCCCCTCTTGATCCCTGTAGTGCTCCTCATTCCATTGGGTGCAGCTGTGTAAGACTGCTGATAGATGCATTTGGAAAACACCTGAGACTGGACAAGTAAAGTTATTTTTTTGTTAAAACTGGTGCTTTTTGCTGATGCTTGCTTACCTCATTGTCTGACTCCACCAGCACTTGATCATATTCACTAAGAGCTACTAGGAACATGATAGACGTGACATTTTCAAAGCAATGTATCCATTTTCTTCTTTCTGATCGTTGGCCTCCTACATCCACCATTCTGCAAAATTAACATCCACATGAACTCCATAAATACCTTAACAGATAAACACACAAGCATACGCACAATGACAAAATTCAAGAATTTAGTTGAAAATGCAGTTTGGTTTGGTTTGTTTTTCTTAATGATTTTTTCCATTGATATTTAATGGAATCTGTTGTAAGTAGACGGTGAATCATATTTGCTTTTAAGTCTGGTATGTTTTCTATATTTAAATTATTGTGGGTCTCAAACCCTTCAGATTTCTGAGATACAAAGGTCTCATGAGGAATGTATGTCCTGTGTATTCAGCAGAAACAGACTTGGTGGTCTGGTTTTTTCCCTCAAATTACCAGAGTCAAAATTCCCAACTTGGTAAAGCTGTACCATTTTAAGAGGACAAACACAATACAATACATATCTTCTAAATTTTTTAATAGCAAAATTAAAATTCAAATTTGCTCCCAGTGTATTCCCACTTCATCCCATGTCTCAGTGTAACTAAACACAGATGTCTAACTTGCAATTGCATAGTTATTTTTTAAACAACTGTACTTGTACTCAAGTAGGGTGATTACTCTCTAAAGGAGAGCAATTTCTCTCTAAAAATCAACTGCACAAGTGGTAACTTTGTATTCCATAATATACATGAATTACTAGGATACATGATTGCATTTTCAGATTATTATTACAGGTTTTCTATCAGTAATAACTTCCTTCAGAAAAAGACAAACTTAATTGTCTTCCGTCCTTTTGACATCTTTAACATCAGTTCCTTATATTTTCATGTAATTGTCCACATATGATAATGACCAAGCTCAAATTTTAAAAACATAGAATAATTGCTTTTTATGTACTTTTAACCAATATCCTATACATGGTATTACTAATGTAAAAGGAAACAAAAGAAACAAAAGAAGTGCATGTTAAAACTTTTTTCCTACCTGAAAATGACACTTTGCAAGTCAAACGGATATTCAATGATCCCTGTTGTTGGGACTCGAACTCTGAGCACATCTTGCTGAGTTGGCAGATAGGTGGAATCTGCTATGCGCTCCAAGTCATTAAGGTAGCTGTAGACAGGGAGAAACAACAGGAATGCAAGACAGTGACACCATCATCCCACTGAGGAAAACAGAAAGGAAGACTAGGGAATGGAAAAGGGGTAGAAAGAAGTACAACAGAAAAAAGAGCATTATCGGCATAAAAGAGGGGACAAAGTATAAAAATGTGTTCCATCCTCCCTTCCTGTACACTTTCATAGCTTCAATTAAATTCTGCAGAAGAGTAGCATAATTATTCTGCTTTTTTTTTCATACACACTTGCTTGGCTTTCATATGTAAATTCACCAAAGATTCAAAGTTTTCAATTACATAATTTTGGCAATTTAGAGACAAATAGTATTATAAAATGTGTGAGAAATACAAAATTGCAGTTTTATTTGAATATGTAACATATTTCTTGATATTCATTCTGCAGTGTCTACACAGATACATGGACAGACAAACATGAGTCTCCCAAGAAACAGTGAACTGCTATAGAATAGATCATTATCAGTCATAAAATGATAGGAGGATAAATGGTACTGCTTGGAGATTACATTAATAAAAAAAAAATTAAAAAAAGGAAAAACCCACCCACTGACAAATTAAAAAACTCTCCAGATCTTGTTATCAGAAGGTAGCACTGATTATTTAGTGGGATCTCTGGCACCTGAAATTCCTGCATCCTCACTGAAACTTCTGATTAATTTAGTAAGCTTGCAGTACATGAAATACACCCTAGTTGGTTAGCAAATAACCCAAAATTGCTATAAAGTTGCTTGTAAAGGTTCATTAACTACAACACAAAACTATTCTGCTATTGCTTAATGGTGGGTTTCAACCATGAAGCACCAGTGTACTGGAGGTTTTAATTAATTCTCATAAAAGAGATGCACGAGAAAAAAGTGTACCAATGCATGTGTGATAGCCTGTTTGGGTACAGAAGCTGGACATCTCATGAAATCAGTGCACCAGGCAGCTTTGGCTCTCCCCATGGGAGATGTCTGGGAGACAGACTGCTGCAGGAAATTAAGTTCTTGGGCATTTGGTTGCTTCCCAGCACAAGAATGACCTAGAGCTAGCCAGTGAGAAGATAAATTAACTTACGGATGCCCTCATTCATTCTAGGGAAGGAAAGCAATGATCTCATAATTTATCGAATAATGATGAAGTATCACTAAGCTCTGAATATGTTCTTTTCCTTGTAGTTACTAGTGAAGGTGTTCTTTTTAAATAAACCCACACAAGAAATAATTAAGACTTCTACATGCTCTGAATGATTTCTTAATGAAATAGAGCAAGTTATCCTGAACAATGACAGAAACTAAGCAGTTTGATTTCTACCTTACAGCAAAAATATGGAAGAATGAATTTGTTAGGTCTGGGAGGAAGCCAAAACCATTATCAAATCTCCCTCTCTATGATCATACTCATGAAAGATTAATCCAACAGTAAACATAGAATGTGAGAAACTTACACATAGTTAGAAAGATGTATTGAACCATATATCTCAGATAATTCAGAAGCTACTACTACGCTGAGAATATTTTCTGAGAGCACTGATTTAGTTTCTGCCAATAAGAAAAAGTCTTGAGAGTCTAAGCACTTCAACTGCCCTCAGGTGTTTCACACAAAAAGTAGAATGGACAAGCACATCATCAATTTGTTGGTGAAGAAAAAAACCCCCCACATTTTAAGTAAACAAAAGCCACCACAATAAGAAACTGACAGACAGCCTGAACTACCTTCTTTTTCCCTCCCACCCTCAAAAAAAATGGTTATGGTTTGGTTTTGTGACTATATTGGAAAGATACAAAGAAACATTGTGGGTCACAACATGCCACAGTGTTATTCCTGAGAAGCGGAAGAATTTTAATTGAATAAATTGGCAAGTGGTCCATTTACACAACTGCCTTCTTGGATTCCTTAGGCAAGCTTCAGCTACGGAATCCAATGTGACCGTCATTACTGCACCTCTGCACCATCAGCACAGTTGTGTTGGGTTTGCGTGGCAAGGTT